AGTGACCTAGCGAACCAAGGCTGTAAGGTAGCACATGTCTCAGAAAACTTGAGTTGATAATGCCTATTAAGCTGGCCATATTAAGGTTCTATGTCTTCTCCACATTAAAGTTGTACGTCGTCACAGAAATTAAGATTTAAAATTAATTTTACTTATCGGAGTGAGACTTCGATTTCTATTTAATGTGCTTTTTTCCCCAAGTATGTTTCTACAGCATTACAATTTAGGGAATAATTTAAAATTAAACACTTGCCAGTATTATTTGCTCTTGTAATTTATTTTTGTTCCTGTTCAGTAAAGAAATATTATTTATAAGCCATGTAGTTTTAATTCACTTGTTATCCTTGTGGAAATTTAGAACATTTAGATAACTAAGTCAATAGCAGTTCATATCTGTGGACCTAAATGCTAGTTGGGCTGTAGGTGACCAGTTGGAAGCTGGGAGAAATGTCCACTCTCAACTCTGGGCTCATGCCATGAGCTCCCTGACTTACCACTAAGGCAAGTGCTCCAGGGATGTTATAGAATTCCATATCCTGTGGTCTTTCTAAAATAAAATAAAACCAGTGTCCATGGTTTTATTCCTGCCTACTTACTCCTTTTTGTAACAGGAATGTGACAAACAGACACGGGATAGGTAGATGGATGAATTGTTTTTCCTAAGGAGTTAACTATAACCAGGAGTTGAATAGCAGCTTCAGAGGTCCTGGATTTTGATATCCATTCCACCATTGTTTCCTCCCCTGTGTTTTTGGAAAGGATAGAAATTAAGCTGTCAAATGTGGCTCTATATAGTTAAATAGATTATGTTTCTTGAAAACTTTAAACATGTTACTAATGTTCTCTCATATTTGCATGAGTATGGTTTGTTTATAAATGTCTGGGTGGGGGCGGCCAGTTAGCTCAGTTGGTTAGAGCGCAGTGCTCACAATAACAAGGTTGCCGGTTTGATCCCCACATGGGCCACTGAGATGCGCCCTCCACAACTATTGGGTTGTCAGAAAAGTCATGACATATTTTTTTCTGTTTTTCATTGCAAAAATGCGTTATGACTTTTCCGACAACCGAATACATTGAAAAACAACTACTTGACTTGGAGCTGATGGGTCCTGGAAAAACACACTGTTCCCCAATAAAATAAATAAATAAATAAAATAAAAATAAATGTCTGGGTGGCTGAGACAAGATTACCAAAACAATATCCATTTACTGTAAAAATCAAATACAGGGAGGCCACACTTTGTGTGTAAGGGGAAAAGTGTCACCAAGAATAATGGGTATAGTAGGATTTATTTAACTATTTTACTAAGTAAGATGAACCATGCACGGATCAATAAGTGTGTCATGAAACATGGATTATGATTGATTCAATTTGTATACCTGAAGTTACAAAATATATCTACTCATTTATGTTTAAATGATAGGTATAGTCCAAATATTTGCATTTAAAGACAAATAACTTATCTTCATAAAATAAGTGCTTCCCAAAGTGCTATTAGATTCTGGAATTTTAGCAGAAAAACTATTTAATGCTGCCTCAAAATTGCAGTTTTTTAAAATATTAATCAGAGTTTAACTCATTCATAATCATATGCAAGAAAAATATTTTTATAGTAATGTATGAAACAACTAATCTGATCTGCTATTTATAATGAAGCAATGTCTACTATCAATTAAAATACGTAATGATTAAACAAAAGTTTTCACTTCACAGAGTATAATAAGCCTTTTTGGAGTTATAAACTCTTGGAACTAGAATGAGGTAGAAACGACCTTCTCCTAAGTGCTTTGCTCTGGCAGCATTTGAAGAGTGTGTGACGTAAGCTAGAACCCATCCGCATCATAAAAGAAATGTGGTTAAGAGCTCACTCAAAAGTGGGAGCTCTGAGCAACAGGGTCACCGGTTCAAGTCCCGGCCCCAGCTGAGCTGCCAACAGGTGGCAGAATGGCTCAGCTAAAAAAAAAAAAAATGTGGAACCACCTGGCAGTTACAGCGTCAGATAAAACTGTTATTTAAGGAGGGTAATTTGATGATTTCCTTCACAGCAAATTTAACTATGATGAGTAAGCTTTTTTATAATCTAAACTTTCTATACCAGCTTATTCAAGTTTGTCAATCAGAAGAGTTAAACGACATATAAGTGAAATCATATGGTATTTGTCTTTCTCCGACTGACTTATTTCACTTAACATAATAGTCTCTAAGGGAATTGTAATAGATACGTATAATATTGGGGGGAAGTGGGGTGGCGGATTGGGGGAGGGGGGGTTGTGACTTCGAGGGGTAAAAAGTGTAACTATTGCACTGTGTTATACAGCTGAAACTAATTCTAAAAAATGTGTATTTCATAATAAAAAATAATTAAAAGCAAAAAAAAAAAAAAGAAGAGTTAAACGAAGCTGTATTTTTAAATTGCTTCTGTATCATAGTATTTCTAATAGGGAAGAAGTCTTGTGAATCAATAAAGCTTAATAAATGTAGGATATAAGGATGTAGGAGGTGAAGGCTTTGGAGGCTCATGAGAAAAGAGAGTTATAATAACTTGCTGGGACAAGTTTGATGGGGGGGAAAGTACTCTCAAATGGTAAATCTTTTTTTCCCCCTGTATGTGTAAGGGACTCTTTCTTACACCTTATACAGCAGAGGTTCTCGGGAGCCAATGGAGGGTGGAGGGGGTTCATGAGCACCCTGAAATTAATTATACAATCTGCGATTATCTAGTGTTTAGAGTGTCTGTAAGATTTTCAAAGGAATGCTTTACTTTCTCCCCCTCCCCCTCCAAAAAAAAATGGTTACTAAAAACTGCTTTGGTTAATTAGGCCCTGGTAAATGGACAATAAGAAAAGAACAAAGGTAACATTCAGACTCAAGTAACATTTTTGTGTTTTCTTGACATGTGAAGTGTTTCTGTTATCGTGCACATGTAATGGGTAAAATGAGTAAGCGTGACAGTAACATAACCTATCCTGCCAGAAGGCAACCCTTAAAAGAGCTGATTGCTTAGTATGCACCTTGGCCAGTTCTTTCATCCTTTGCCTTTTTCATTCTGTTTGTAGAATGGCCATCAATACACAACCAATACCTTTTGATAAATCACATGGTTTTGAATTGTTTTATATCCAAGTTTCATTATATAATAAACTGGAGGGTTACCTTATACCTGAAAAGACCCTCTGTTCAGAAGTCTTTGCCAGTCAACCCAGAAACTCTGCCCCTTGGCTATTCCACTGAAGGATAGGGTCACTGAGATTAAGTTAATAATCTTAATAAGGGCTCTGATGACTTTGTGAGTTATTTAATCCCTCCAGGTCTGATTATAAACTCAGTCAGTCTTAACAGATAAGGGCCTACCCTGGTTGTTATTAATTCCCAAAGAACGCATTTATAAAAACCTAAGCCTTCCCCCACCTGCTGAAACAAGTCTTAATCTTTGATGTTTAAACAGTTTGCGGGTCAAAATAGTAACTTTAGCCTACAGCAACTTAAATCTGCCTTTGAATTTGCTATTTTCATTGCCAGTGCTCTTCTAGGCTTTCGGAATTAATATTTCTAAATTCAGTGAAACCCACATTTTCCTTACCTTTTTGATTCACACCTCTCTTAGTTTCACTCATAACTGATTACATTGGAAGAGCGAATATCAGAGTGAAGAATTTGTTTTGAGAAATTGCTTTATATTGCTGAGTTTTTCTTTCATTTGAAAATCCCAATGGAGAAATTTGTATTTCAACACATTCTGATGTTCCAAAGATAAATGATAGCATGTGCTGAGACCTGGAAAGCTGAAGCTTCAAAGAACAGCATGGAGCTCAGACATGGAGGTAAAAAAGACATAGGCACCCTTGACAAATCTAAGTCTTACTGAGGCCACTGTGTTTCCTGTGTACAAGGCCTGGCTCCCGGACCGGAGTGCTATATGCAGATACTGTATGTGGGCCCATCATGGGTCCGGTAGCTTAGAGATAGATACGATAAAGATAGATGAAAGTATAGTGACCCAATTTACTGCTTATTCTTTCCTATCAATATTCCTTATCAATAATGCAGTATCAAGCCTGTAACTCTTGAATAATTTGCTTTGCAATAAATATTTAAAACTTAATATTACAATCATGAAATGTTTGACACTCTAATATATAGGTAATTAAAATACCTTTATATTCCAAAACTTTACTGTAGAAAAAATTGTTGAGTTTTCCATTTAATTTAACATTCTCTGAGTTTTCTCCCTCCTTCCTCTCACGAGGTGATCTCATCCACGCCGGTTGCTTTAAGCACCATCTCTGTGCTGAGACTCCTCAGAGCTGGCTCCTGAATCTACCCACCAGTTATTCTGACATCTTTATGATGGCAATATCACAGGTGTCTCAGTTTAAGCATGCTTAAAACTGGAGTCTTGATTGCCTACCACCCCTTCCAGTATTAAAAAAAAAAATCTCCTTCCTTGTTATTAAAAACCAGTAAACTGCCCCGCTTTCCAACAAAGGAGAGTTGAGGGTGCTGTGCTTGCCACTCCCTCTACCTTCCTCTCTATCTGTTAAATCACCAAACCACATCAAGGCCATCTCAGGAGTATTCCTCATCTGTTAGTTTTTCTCCATCATCAGTGCCCCTGCTATAGCTCACGTTACTCTTACGCTCTAGTTCAGGTTATCATCATTAACTCGAAAGTCCATATTCCCCAAAGCAACCATGGGGATTATCTACCTCCCCCAGCAGTGAGCATTTTATTTTTAAGTACAAATCTGATCCGGTTTCCCATGACATTGAGAACCAAGTTGAAGGTCTTAATGTGACCTGTACGACTTTGCATAATTCACCACTCCAGTCTTAGCTCCCGCTCCTCACTTCATCACTATGGACCAGTGCTCTTACCTTGACTGTGACAGGTTTTGTACCACACACACCCACACACACCCGCACACCCTCCCCCATTCACCTGGTTAATTGCATTCAAACTTCAGATACTAGTTGACATGCAACTTCTTTTGTACAGGTTTTCTTCAACTTTCCAATCTGACCTAGGTTCTTCTATTATGGACTCTCATAAGCACCTCCTGCTTGAGCAAGGTATGCAGTTGATCTGTAGCCAGGCACCCGTTCCATATTTGCATATTTGTCTTCTCTGGATAGGAAGCCAAATGAGGCCAGGTGCAGTAATTGTCTTGCTTGGGTCTGAATTCCCATATAAATATTTATTGAATGAATAAGGAATGACTCCACATAGATAAATATTTGCACAGTTCACTATCTTCTTTCATCCCAAGCTTGAGCTGGCTTCTCTAGAGAGTGCATATATGAAAAGGGTATTGTGTAGGGAAAAGGCTGTAGGACTTTTGGAGGGAAGTGGCGAGGGTACACAGGTGTTGGATCAGGAGTGATGCCTGCTTTAGGCAGGAAAGAGGAACTGGTATTTATCCAAATTTAACACAACGTATGTTGGCTTATATGTGGGGCTGGAGATAACATACAAGAATCCTTCACTGACTTATTCCATTCATTTTTTTTTGTTTTTTTAAACAAAACTTGTTGCGTATCTTCTATTTGCCAAGCACTTTTCATCATTGATTGCAGAGAACACTGAGTGTGGGCATAGATAAAGAGATTGCAGATAGTAATAAAAGTGTTATAAGTGCAATATTAGAGGAGTATATAGGATTATGTGGAAATGGGTTTGGAGGCTAGTAATTTGGCCTGTTTCCTGGAAGAAAGCACACTTGTGAGTTTCAAAGTGATGTATGAAAGCAGAAGGAAATAATTTTTTTAAATTTTGATTTAGAGCTATTTTTTTCCCATTTCTTTCTGTGATAACAATATAATATTCTGTTCCACTTTCGCTAAGCATGCTCTGGAATTTTTTGTATTTCTTACTTTTATGGCTCATCATTCCATCTTGTTAGAAAAGAAAAAAATAATCTAGCTGCTTCCATAGTGCCCACATTTCTTGAAGACACCAAACTGATGATGCACCCTCTTTTCTTAAATAAAAGAATTGAATTCACTCTTCAAACATAAGCCCCATTTCTTTCTTTCTTTTTTTAAAGATTGTATTGGGTAATTGGGGGAGGGACACAATGTTGGGGAATCAGGGAAGGGGAACAGACAAGTTGCTGTCTTTTGTTCTTCATTCTAGTTGTGGAGGACATCGCTTCACTGGCCCATGTTGGTATTGTGATCATTGTGCTCTTCCTGGTTGAGGCAGTCGATCGCCGGCCATTGGACGGCCGCTCATGGCAACCCACTGCAGCCCTACTGCAGCCTACGCTGGGGCCGGCAACTCACAGCAGCTCAGCTCCAGGTCGAGCTGTTGTTCACCATCTTAGCTGTAGAGGGCGCAGAGTCATTGGCCCTCATGTGGGATCTGAACCAGGCCCTGCTGCTCAGAGCTGGCGTCCCAAGCCAACTCTTAACCAACGCGCCACTCGGCCGGCCCATAAGCCCCATTTTTATCAAGTTAGATCTGTGAGCTACAATTGAATTAGTACTTTTTGCCTTTACATTGATACATAGCAGATACAGTTTCCTGTGCCATTAAAACAGTGTGATATATCACCTTGACCAAATTGTGCTGTTCTCTTAACATACCACTTCTCAAAATGAAGATCAGTTGTGTCTTGATGTCTCCTGTAACCGCTTCCCTCCACCGCCATCTGTGCCAGCCTGCTGGCCATGTCCCCAGTCTATCATGGGAACCACTTGGCTTCTCTTCTTTCCCCTTTAGTGACCCCAGGCTTCATTTCCACACCCCACCACATGGCAGTGAGTGATTTAAAATAGATTTTGTTAATGATTGTGGTTGCATGATCATTGAGACTGAATGGAGACTTCTAAAATATGTAATAGCATATAGCAGTTGCCTGGTTTTCTGCAAAATCAAAAAGGTTATGAAAACTAATAGAGATGGTATGTATTTATGAAGTGTTTCTGCATTAAAGTTAATCTAGAGATGTACCCATAGCAAGAGGCCATTTAGCTGAAAATTACCACCAAAGCATGAGAAAGAGTATCACCTTCACTTTAAGCTGTATACATTGATGTATTGTGTATAGAATCAAAGTTTGCTCTTTCCAACTTAAAACACCCTGTCATGTAGTTTGTGCAATCTTTTTTTTTTAATTTCTGAAATTCTGTAAATCTCCCAGGCTAGAGGAACTGAGACACTGAAACAGGTGGCTTAACAGAGGGAGCATATGGGCTGACTGTGACTGTTCTCCCTTGGGCCCCGGGCCCAGTGTGTTCGCCTCTCAGGGTACTTGTGTGGTGTGTTGTCTTCTGGGCTCTCAGAGACTAACGAGGAAATTAAATTGCATACACCACCATTCAGAAGGTGAGCTGTATTTACGGAGAAGAGGCAATATGTAAGTCTATTTAATGAAAAGCATTATCTTAACCCAAGTGATCTGCTCCCATTTAGACCTTATCCGTTTTTATGCTTTCTCTACTCATCTAACCTGAAAACCATTGATTCTGTCTCCCTCTCCCACAGGCACCTATCACTCACTGGGTGTTTTTAAGTATCCATCACAGTGTCTTTAGTATTCAGTCCTTCTGTTTTAGTTCCATAGCCCTTTTTCTCTATCCAGGCCCCCGCATGTCTGTTTGGACTGTTACGCTAATCCATTAGGTCTTCCTATTTTTTCCTTCCTCTCAATCAAACCACACCTTTACTGCATGCGTCTTCCTGAAACACTGCTTTCTTTTCTTCAGCTTTCATGTTGTCATTAAAATGTGAACTCTTCTGTCAGGCTTCTACTTCTCTCCAACTTTTTATAATGAAACATACTGAAAAATTGAAATAGTATAGCAACATTCATATATCCTTCACCAAGATGCAGAAGTGTTAAAATTGTTGTATTTGCTTTATCTCTCTCACTGCCTGTCTGTACACACACACACACACACACACACACACACACAGAGAGAGAGAGAGAGAGAGAGAGATACACACAGGGTATTGCAGAAACAACTGAAAGGTAATTGTATGCATCTTGACTTTTCATCCCTATAAGCTTCTGCCTGCCTCTCATAAGACCTGGGTAAAATTTTCAGTGGGAAAGTAATTTTTTTGAAATAAAACTACTATCTACAAGTTTTTAATCAACTAGATATAAAAATGAGGAAAAGGTATAGAACTTCAAATAATGAATGAATAAATGAATTTAATAGACTGTGTGTGGCAAATTCTTAAGGTTTTACTCTGTTGTGATATTTGTGCAAATAATGTTTTGTTTATATATTTCTTGTCCACCAACTTGTAATACTGAGTTTTTTGTATAAAGTTAGCATTTTAGCTACATTATTCTCCATAGTCGGAGGTTCTGCCAGGCTTTCAATTTATTTGGTTCTTCGGTCACTTCCTACCAATCTTGGGTCATTTCCCATTGGTCAGCCCCTAGCCTGTAACTTTTATGGTGGACGTATTTAGAATGATCTATCTGGTACCTCTTTTGCCCATTCTTTTGCTTATACCATCCTCATCCATCCATATTTGATGGTGGAAATGGTAAGATGTAAAACATGAGAATTGTCCTCAGCCTTGCTCTTCCCCACCACGTGGAAAGGGCCAGTAGCCTTTGAACAGAAAGGATGAAGTCAATACTCAGAGATGGAGCTCCTGGTTCCAGTCACTCCCAAGATCCAGTTGGATAATTGTCATCCCTGTGGTTTGCTTTTGTGCAACCTTCCCTTGTATTTCATGAGTTCATAAATTTCCATTTTTGCCTCAGCAAATTCCAGTTGGATTTCTATTAAACCCAAAAGCCTTAACTTGCTCAATATGTTATTTCCTAATCTAAGTCCTCAGTCAAAGTAAAATTTAAATCTGTAGAGACGTTTCTCTCCCCATTGGGACTGCCCTACCTCCATCTATCCCTAACTCCAGCAAGATACTGGGCCGGCCGAGTGGCGCGATGGTTAAGAACTGGCTTGGGACGCCAGAGGGCCCCAGTTCGGATCCCGCATATGAGGGCCAGTGAACACTGCCCTCCACAGCTAAGATGCTGAACAACAGCTCAACCTGGAGCTGGGCTGCTGTGAGTTGCCGGCGAAGGCGTGGGCTGAAGCCCCTGTGGCAGTGGGTTGCCATGGGCTACCGTATGTAGCCAGCAGTCGCAGTGAGCGGCCAGCCGCCGCAGTGAGCGGCCGTCCAGAAGCCGGCGACTGATCTCCCTCTCCAGGGAAGAGCTCAATGATGGTGCCAACTTGGGCCAGTGAAGCAACGTCCTCCACAACTAGATTGAAGAACAAAA